CTGCCAGTCCATCTCTTGCTCCCCACCAATCTCACATTCCCATCCAGAACTTCAAATGCTAGGAAATATCACAAGATGCAGGGGCAAGAAGAGATTTGTCAGTGGCAGAAGAGAGTAACAGTCCAGCAACAGAGGTGGCGGTTTCTCCAGTGGCAATGTCACAGGCAGCAAAATTCTGACCAGGCTATTTATGTGACAGAACCTTGGCTATGGCCTCAAACACCCAGCCTTTTGGGTCCTGTCTGGTTTTTGAACCCAGTTCTCTAGCCTTCCCATCAATTCTGAAAGCTATCTGCAGCCTTCCAATAAATCCCTTTTCTGCTTAAGTCAGCCAGAGTTCATTTCTATGGTTGACAAGCAAGAATCATGACTGACCCCGTGCTCCTGTGTCCTCACAGAATACAGCACACTAGAATGTACTACCACTGCCCGTTTGCTTGTCTATATTCCCCACTATCTGGTTCATCATGTTGGTCGCGTTACTCTAGTGCAATGGCTGCCACAAAGCAAGTGTGCAGTAAGTGTTTATACTTTATTTCACTAGTGATCAGAACTGAAGCAAGAAAAACTCTCAGGCCCAGCACAGTGGCTCATACGGGTATTCCCTTTAGGGGGCAGAAGGAGGAAGATCACTGGAGGTCAAGAGTTCAAGAATGGACAACATAGCAAGATTCCATTCCTCTTAAAAAGAAAAAAAAAAAACTGGCCAGGCACGGTGGCTCATGCCTGTAATCCCAGCACTTTGGGAGGTCGAGGTGAGAGGAATGCCTGACCCCACGGGTTCAAGACCTGGGCAACTTGGCAAGACCTAATCTCTACAATAAATCAAATAAGCGGGGCCTGGTAGCACGTGCCTGTAGTTACAGCTACTTGGAAGGTTGAGGTGGAAGGATCACCTGAGCCGAGCAAGTCAAAGCTGGGGTGGCTGTAAGCGTGCCACTGCACTCCAGCCTGGGTGATAGAGTAAGACTCCAACTCAAAAAAAAAGAGAGAGAGAAAACTCTCAGTGAAGGGCTATTTTGCATTCCTAAAAAACTAACGTTAATTACAGCCGAAGGTGTCACAGTTACCAGTTAGAACCATACAGCTTAATTTATCTTATTTGTAGATTTATAAACTAGGATTTTTCTCACCACCTGGGATACAAACTACCCTCTTAAAGGAGATGTGAAAGAAAAGAACCAAATTAGGTCTGTTCTATTGGGGGCTAGAGAATTCTTCTCTAATAAAACACACCTAATTAGAATAAATTGAGTAAAATATTCCCTCAACCTAGTGAATACCCCTAATCCTTGAAACCTAACTCAAATACGACATCCTGCAAGCAGCCTTCAACCACTCCCCGCCAGCCAAGCCAGAACTTCCCCTGGACTCCCATACCTCTATTTTAGTCCTTAGTAAAAGGTGTTATATTTATTTGTGTATGTCTCCATCAGATCTCAAAATCGTCTAGGGTAGTATGTTTCTATCTCCAGCTCTAAGATGGTGTTGGGCATAAAACAGGAACCAAGTTTCGTAAGTGGAGCCACTTGGTTTTGCTTAAAAGGTAACAGTGGAACTCTGTTCTATCTTGCAACTTTCCTATAAATCTGAATTTATTCCAAAATAATTTTTTTTAAAGAAAGGTACTGCCAGGCTCCATGGCTCAGCCTGTAATCCCGCGCTTTGGGAGGCTGAGGTGAGTGGATTGCCTGAGCCCGTGGGTTCGAGACCTACCTGGGCAACTTGGTGAGACTTCATCCCTACAATAAATCAAAAAATTAGCCGGGTGTGGTAGCCCACACCTGTAGTTCCAGCTACTTGGAAGGCTGAGGTGGAAGGATTGCCTGAGCCCAGAAAGTTGAGGCTGCAATGGTCGGGAGTGTGCCACTGCACTCCAGTATGGCAACAGAGTGAGACTCCAACCCAAAAAAAAAAAAAACAAAAAAGGTACCATTACATCTTACATGTCACAGAAAGCAGCTACTCAACAACTTTGCCTTTGCCAGTAAGTCAGTGATTTCAGAGCAAACTTTCGAAAGAATGAGTAATAAACACTTGAGATTTGAATCCCTGCATTAACTGTGATCAAGTTGTTTCATTTCATCTGAGACCTTTTTTTTTTTTTTTTGAGTCTGTCACTCAAGCTGGAATGCAGTAGTATGCTGCTCACAGCAACTGCAGTCTTGACCTGCTGGACTCAGGCATTCCTTCCACCTCAGCCTTCCAGGAAGCTGGAACCACAAGCAAGTGCCACAGTGCTTGGCTAATTTTTTTTTCAATTTATTGCAGAGACAAGGTCTCACCATGTTGCTCAGGCTGGTCTTGAACCCGAGCTCAGGCAATCCTCTGGTCTTCGCCTCCTAAAGTGCTGGGATTTTTTTTTTTGAGCCACCGGCCTGGCAGAGACTCAGTTTGTAAAAAGTGAATAATCCTTGGTCAGGCACGGTGGCTCAAGGCTGTAATCCCAGCGCTTTTGGAGGCCAAGGTGAGAGGATTCCTTCAGCCCACCGTTAGAGACCAGCCTGGGCAACTTGATGAGACCTCGAATCTACAATAAATCAAAAATAAGCCGGCCATCATAGCTTGTGCCTGTAGCTCTGGATACTTGGAAGGCTGAGGTGGAAGGATCACCTGAGCCTAGCAGGTCGAGGCTGTTGTCCCATGAGCATTCCACTGCACTCCAGCCTGAGCGACAGAGTGAGACTCCAATTAAAAAAAAAAAAAAAAAAAAAAA